AATAAGGATGATTTGACTCAGGCTAGGACCTCGATAGATACAAGTCAACATCTGTCGAAAAATAAAGGAGAAAGTGTTTCTCAAGTCGAATATTCAAGGGTGATAGGGAGTCTGATGTATCTAATGAATTGTACTAGACCAGACATCGCCTTTGCCGTGAGTAAATTGAGTAGATATACAAGTAATCTAGGAAATGAACACTGGAAAGGAATTGTGAGATTACTCAGATACTTGAGATATACTTGTAAATATGGTCTGCACTACTGTAAATATCCAGCTGTAGTTGAAGGCTATAGTGATGCCAACTGGATATCGGATATGAAAGATTCTAAATCCACTAGTGGATATTTATTCACTTTGGGAGGTGCAGCCATATCATGGAAATCTTCTAAGCAGACTGTTATTGCCAGATCCACAATAGAGTCCGAATTTATAGCATTGGACAAAAGTGGAGAAGAGGCAGAGTGGGTTCGCCATTTCTTAGAAGATATTCCAAATTGGTCAAAGCCAGTGCCAGCCATTTGTATACATTGTGATAGTCAATCGGCTATAGGCAGGGCACAAAGTAATATGTATAATGGTAAGTCTAGACATATCCATCGAAGACATAATACCATTAGACAACTACTCTCAACTGGTACTATATCTATTGACTATGTGAAGTCAAAAGATAATCTTGCGGATCCGCTAACCAAAGGGTTAAATAAAGAGTTAGTTGCTAAATCTTTGAGAGGAATGGGACTTAAGCCTCTAGAAATGAGTTGATACAATGGAAACCCTACCTTGTTGACTGGAGATCCCAAGATCTTGGTTCAAAGGGACAACCTAATTGTAAAAAGACTCTTGTGATCACTGTGGGATAATATCCCATGTCCATTCCTTAAACAGTGATACCCGTGGTGAGTAGGATAAGCATTTGGCTTTTAACGATTCTTGTATGAGAAAGTAGTACGGGCTACTTATAATTAAGAATCACCTATGTGAGAGAGAAGTGAGGCCGCTTTGAAGAGAATTGTGTGAGGCTCAATTCTTAGACCCTCTCACAGAACCAGGCTATGTCCAGGGCCACTAATGGACATAATAATGAGAGCTGGAATATGTTAGGGAGAATCCTGTGTGAAGTACATTTATCGTTTACACAAAAGGCAGAACAGTTCAAAGACATCGCGTCTACTGGTCAGCTAGTAAAGTTGATGTGCTTTCACAAGGGAAGGTTCAAAGGGTAACACCTACCTATCCTATGCAGGTTTCAACTGTTGGACCATAACATTTAATTTCATTCATGTGGGGGATTGTTGGAAAAATTTGAATGAAAATTGTAACATATCACTTTTGAAACCGTGTCTTCACATTTAAGAAAAACTTGTAACTTTGTTCATGTTACAAGAAGTCTCATTATGTTTTAATTTAATGAACTATCAATGAACAATTTATTAGTGAGCCTTATTTTATGCCTATATAAGGCTTGTTTTGTTTTGAAGAAAGGAGACACGAGAGGAAGATAGAAGAAAGAAAAACAATATTCCCCCTTTTTCATGTTATAGTGTTTTGGTCCAGGCATAATTCCAGTTCGCCGGATTAGTTTCGGTTTTTCCGTTGTATCCTGGGAAACAGACGCTCATACGGGGCGAATCTGTTTTAAGGACACTGTGTTATCACAGGCCTCGGTATTTTATTATATAGCCATCTTATTTTTAGTTTCCCGTTAAAGTTCCCTACAATAATAACATTTTGGTATGTTTGGATTGCTTTAATTTTTTTTATTTTTTTTTTGGCCCTTTTGATAAATAATGGGAAAATATATATTTACTTGGGATCAAACACATTGTGCACCAAAAGAAAAAAGGATGCAGCATAAGAGAAAACTTACAGGCCAAAGAAGACCTTGGATGCATCATAGATGCCCCACTGTGTTCCGGTGAGTGTACCGATCATGACAATACGAAGAGGGAGGCCTCGGCTGCAAAGACCCCACAACCCCAGCTTTTTCACAGCCTACAAACGATGGACGAAAAAGTCGATCCATTCTCAGTTACTTGTATTAAATTAAATTTAAAAAGGAAACATACCAAAGTTTAATAACAATTAATCGACTCGACTCACATCGCCAATAGTCGCTCCCTTAGAATTGTTGAGGAAAGAGACCAAGTTGTCTGCAGGATGCGAAACAACGGCACATAAAACGCCAGCTATGTACCCACCCGAAAAGCTAATGCCAAGCTGCAAGCTCTTGCTGCATTCGTTCTTTGGAGTCGGGATGGCGTACTTATATATGCCCTCGACAATGTTCTCAAACGTCGCGAACTTCATCATTGTATCTGCAGTTACTCCGCCGTTATATTCATCCCGGAATAGTATTGAACAAATCAAACTGATCATTCTTATTACAAAACTTACATGGAATTTGTCGTCCCCAAAGTGGAACAATCCCTTTGTACAGCCTGCATAAAACCAACCATCCATCCATCCATTATTTCGAGCTATCATCTCCTCAAAATTTTTAAATTTTATGACAAATTAAACGGAAGAAACAAAAAAGCAGAAATTAAGATAAAATGCAAGCATATATACCCGGCAACCCCTTGGGTCCGGACAATCTTCGGAAGCCCGTCGACCAAACCCCTGGCGAAGCCCGGTTGGGTTTGGACCCGAACCTTAACCGCCTCAAACGGGCATAGGGCTACATCGGCTATAACCTCGGCCGAAGCCGAGCCCGCCAGATAGATCAACGTCTTGTACTTGGCAGCGTGCTCGGGGCCCACAACATCCGAGTAATACTTCTTGAAATATTCGTACAGGCCGTATTTAAAAGCGCCCTGCGCGCTGTACCCGAGCAAAGTCGGGGCCCACCCCTTGAAGAAGCCTCTCAGGCCTTGCTCCCTTAGCACCACGTTAAAACCAGAGCCAACACTTTTGTACTTTACCGGATCAATCTGAAAAAAAATAAAAAATAAAAAGAATATATTATACTTGAAGTTGGATAGTGAAGTAATTAGCAATAAAGATGAGGGGGCAAGCATTGTTGACCTGCATATTGCACTTGACGATGTCAAGTGGGGTGACGGCGGTGTGAGTCGGACCGCAGCTCAACAGCCCACCGGCGGCGGAGGCCCAATAAAACGCCGGTGAAAACATCTCGATTGCTCCCTTCTCGGCCGGTGCCGGAACAACAAAACCATGCCGGTTTTGTTGATCCTGATTATTTGATTGACTTGTGTACACAAAACTCGGGATCAATGGGTTTTTTGGAAAACTCATTCTTGAAAATATTAATAATACAAGAAAATGAAGAAGGTAGGACAAAAGGGGGTGTCCCAGAAAACTTGGAGGGGGTCGGAAAATTTGGTTGGTTGCTGTCTGAAAATTTGGTTGCGCGCTTTTGGGAAGTTGGTGTCTGAATATAAATGAGAAAAAAGATGCAGAGAAAAATGGTGGTGGCTGAATGGAAATTGGTCCAAATTTGAATTCCACTTGTCGATGGATACACGACTCTGTTTTTAAAACTGCCCTGTTTCCTGAACATTTCCTCTATGATTTATTCTTCTTCTTTTTTTCTTTGCTTGCACATAGGGCTGCGATCGAACCGAGCGGCTCGCGATCCGCTCGCGAGCGCTCGAGTCAAAGTTCGACTTGGCTCGAGTTTCACTCAACTCGAATCGAGCTCGAGCGGCTCAAGCACGAACTCGAGTTGAGGTTGAGCCCATATTTTGCATTGTCGAGCGGCTCGAGATACACATTAAATTACTAAAATAACCCCTTAATATATATATATATATTAGCATAAGTGTCTAATGGTAACTTTACCTTTCCACTTAAAAAATTTCGAGTCGAACTCGAGCCGAGCTCGAACATTTTGATTTCGAATCTCGAACTCGAGCTATTGTAATTTTCTATCGAGTCGAGTTAAGCTCGAGCAGCTAAACAAAAGAACTCAATCCTACTCGATAAGATCAATGCTCGACTCGACTCAGCTCGCTTGCATCTCAACGTTGCACACAAAAGTTTGAAGTTTGAACAATACAAATCATAGTCAGATTCAAACTTACATTGTATGCGAGTGTTGGTTGACGAGGAAATATTTAACAATTTTGCTTCTTAGTTCATTCCAAGTAATATTTGTACCCTTACGTTTTT